GTTTATTATTGAATATTTTGACGCGTTTAACTTATGCTTCTCCCCAATTCTCGTCGCGTATTTTATTCATATTTTCTTATATTCTAGAATCGGAAAAGATATGAATTCGCGTTTTTTCTTTTGATTCTTTCTATTTTTCAATTGCATTACGCATTATTGCAATAATTTCTATCGTTACATTTAATTCTAATTGTTTAGCAGCTTTTCTACATAATTTCTATAAAATTTATAACAAGCATAAGTGAAAAGAGAGAAATGTGAACGGTTTCTGTAATTTTCCTCGTGAAATTCGAAATGCGTCAAAATGGCGCGTCCCGTGAACCTTGTGTTAGCAGTAGTGAAATAACAAGTAGCCGATAATTTTAGCAACAGATAGCAACGAACTCTTGTTCCATAAATTCAGGTCTCGTATTAAAATTTGCATTGATGTTTATGATTAACACGATTAGCGTCGAACCGCAGTTTATTGTTTATAAATTCACATGAATTCACTTGGACACATCTGTTTGCCCGTTCGAGCATTTGAATAATTAATCGATACTCTGATCAGCCATCAGAAGTTGAACGGTGCTGTCTCAACAGAGCAATAACTCATGAGTAATAGCTCTTGTGTGCGATTGACACGCGAAAAGATATTATTACGTGCTCCTTCGTATCATTCGGGACGACGTTGTTACGGTATCCCGTCACGGTTTGGCGTTCATGGAAATACGAACGGCACGGTGTATAATTTATTCATTGGCTGGTTAAGCGCGTCGACTAGGTACCGATCAGATAGAATTACTTATAATTGCAACAAAGATGATCTGAATGGGGAAACGAATGAATTTGATTTTCGAGCTACTGGCAAATTCATACGTACGTTACTGCGAATAAGAAATTATCACGTGCGAGAAATATGGAATTAATTGTTAACGAATCGTCGAATTCGTTGCTTTCATTATTTACTGCAATTTATTCACTTCACGTGGAAGAATATTGGCAAGGATAATTGTGGGATAATAAAGAAGTACGGTTTGTATATTTTGCAAGTTTCACTGGAAGAAGATATTGCTGCTTTATATTCATAAGGATATTTGACAGGTTTGACTTTGGAGAACTTTGCAATGTAAAATTCAGGTTTTTTAATATTATTAGAATAATGCAAATTGACGTAAGAAATAGAAATACATAAATTTGTAAACATTAAAAATCTTTTTTTGAAAACAAAGCTTCGGAGTATACTGGCGTTACTGATTAATCTTATGAAAAAAAGCTAGGAGTACAAAGGGTTAATTATGCTTTACCTTGTCTGCTTTTACAAAATTTTTTACACAACGTTTGAAACAATACCTACTTGTAACAACATTATCGTGTAAGGTTCGTTAGAGAAGAGTGTTAATTTTCACGAATTCTTTGAGCAGTTAAAAATATAATTGTAGCTATGGCAATTCTTGTTATTTTACGTGAGGTGAAGTTAATGAATTTTGATGGATTTTTAAGTTGCTAAAATATCGAAAGATATACGGGAAAGGTAATAGGATTATTAAATTTGCCACGAAGGAAGAACACAATGTTCACTGCACGTTAATTCGATGGTAATTAATAGTAACTCCCTCGATAATTCGATGAACCCTCAAACTCCCTCTGTGAGGATTGGCCAACCCTTGTATCCTCTCAAGGCTACCCAACGAAGCCGCATGGTTGCACCGATACTGAAGTCTATATCGTACCTTCCTTTGATGTTCGCTACTCCCCCTGATAAGCGTAGCTTGTGCTTAACTTACAATTCAACACGGAAAATTTTAATTGCTCCCGTGGAGCGATAGAACACTCTCTATTGACTCTTCTTGAAGTACACTTGCAACATTTTACATAGTACGTAAAAGGAGAAACATGGTCGAAATTATTTTTCCAATTTTGTGCGTATATCTTCATTGTATAAAAAAATTATTACTCAAATTCAAATAATTAATGCAATTTACACGTAAACCACACTCGAAGGGTTAAACCACCCCTGAGACCAGAAAATGGTACCTAACTTCGGCATTTTTTTTTAAGAAAACTATTGACTCAATCGAAAATTTTTCACGACAGCTTGATTATATTAACTTTGAAGAATATAAAAATATCTTTTCGTCGAATTTCGTTGCAAAATGGCGGCGCTACAGCCGTATCGCCGATCCCCTATTTCGAACTCTATTACTGCTATTATTTTTAACAAAAAACGACACACTTCTGTCGCAAAAATTTTCTCAATTTTCTAGTCAATTCTCAGACCTCCTGAAACTATGTACAACCATCCAGAATTATTATTTAACCCCGAAATAATATTTTTCACTTTATTCTTCGTCTTCGATCAATCGTCGCTAGATGTTCACGCGGCATCAACGTTCATTTCCGTATCACAGTACGATGCGTTTCCAAACGCACTTTCCACCGATCGTATTCTTTTAACCAGTCGCCTGATCATCGCGATATTCACGCGAAGGGTAGTCATAGACGGTCTGGCTTGGATTTCCAGCGACGCGACGTTTTAATGCTCTGTCGCTTTGTGCGCTCGCAATTCATTCGACTTTTATGGAGAAGAAGATTTACGAGGATTTTAACAGTGAACCATGCCGCCGCCTGATATATAGACACGCTTTGTAAATAAAGGTACGCGCATGTGGTGGACGTCTGTCATAAACAACGCTCGTTTTTCGCAAGATCGATATCCGCGATCAATTCCCCGATACGAGTTCTGATTCTCCTTTTTATTGTCGCCTTGTACACGCATTCGAACGAGTTTCTCCAGGCAAACACTCGTTCTTGGCCGTTTACGATGATTATGAAACTGTCGTGGAAGATTTATGCTATGATTCCCAGTTGTTTCATTTTGATCCGTGAAATAAAGATATTGCAAGAAATGGGGGTGTAGGTATTGAAATTATTTTGTTATTCTACATTCGTTCTTTTCGTATAACAATAGTAAAATAGTAAAGCAGTTACGTTCTGCTTGTGAATAACTAACGATAAGAATTGCAAAGAAAAATGTTAGAAAAATTCATGGAATAGTAGGTGTTATCACGAGAGAAAGAGAAAGAAGCATGTATAATATTATGCAGATGATCGTAGTACGTTGCATATGCATAGATCGTTGAAGTCTCGAGAAATACTACACTTTTACATAATCCAAATTCTTGCATACTCTTCCAGCTGTTGCAGGCCAGAAATTACGAATAAATTCAAATTTCACGTTTTTCTATTTTTACTTCGTTTATTTCCCAAGTTTAGTATTACGATATCCTAACAGACAGCCGATAATTAGAAAAGTAGAGAATCACGTTTAAATAGCTTTGGACAGCTTTCAATTCACGTGATATTCATCAAATCGATTTGGCTTTTAAACACCGTCGCGTACTAAACTATACCAAGGGTTTGTCACTGGAATATGTTTCATTGTCACGATATAATTTGCTGTTCGCATCTCTGCCCTGTTCCACCATCGATTTATACGTCAATTCATGATGTCTCTGTGGTCCACATGCTGGCAAATATTTTGAAAACGGTTTAGATTATTTGGAAAATTGAAGTTCGCGCCGACACACGATGCTCGATTTTGCTTGTTTACGCGGATAACTGCACACACACAGTTTGATCAGATTCATAGCAGAATTGAATGGAACACTAAACCTCTGGCTTTACGTTAACTGGATGTTGAATTTTGCATATTTACAATATAATTACTTGCAGAATTGGTCTGCTGACAAATCGGTTACGAAATTACGCCTCGCTTAAATTTTCATTAGATATTCATGAATGAGTGCACGTTTCATTCTCAACGACGTTCAAAACTTGTATCGTTGTTTTACGATGGTTCTTCAATTTTTCTTCCAACGTTACATCGAAGACTGAATTTTTTAGGATTTTAAAGTAACCGAGAATTATTGTGCAAATCTACGAAGTAAATCCTTATTTTGAAATAATTAAATACACAATTGAACGAAACAATCTCGTGATTATTTCGAAAGGTACAGTGGAAAATGAATTTGTTTCCTTTTCGAGAAAAATACATTAGCGATGAACTCTGACTCGTTTACTCCGCTGTGGATGAAACTTAATATTTATGACACCGGTATAATCAATGGCAGCGCGAAATTATTAATAATAATGGAAACGTGATTGCCCCGGGACAATAATTTGAATAATAAAACTCCGTTGGGCTATAGCGCTATCGTCCGTCAGTTGTTATCCAAAATGTAACACGGCTGCGTCCTCAGTTGTGCCTCGACCGCGAAAGGACTAACTCGTGTATTCGATACTGTCTCGTTTAAAATCGCTTCAGCATGTGTATTTCATATTCTCGAGCACCCTAACAGCGTATCAAAATTTCACAATTACTCTCGTTTCGCAACACTTGTCCCGTGTGTACACTAGCCGATAATTCACGAATCTCGAAGCCAAACCGAAATTAATCACCCGCAGATCCTCGAGCCGAAGTCACTCAACGAAACGTCCACGAGAAGACTAGCAAAGAAAAAGAGAAAACAGTGCCTTGTTCAAGCTCAGTGTACCTAATCCTACGAATCATATCCCTTCTCTGTACTATAAACAAATCGACAAAAACAACTAGTCAAATTCTCCGAGCTCTCGAGTTCTCGGAACAGGCTTAGCCTGGCGTGTCTAACGTAAACAACAGAAATTCTCCAGCGACGAAACAAAGTCACGTGAGATACGAACAGAGGGAAGGTTAACGCGCAAGCAAAAACAGCCTCTGAGCTATCGAAGCCAAGTGTCCCGGTGTCTAAGCCGAGAAAAAAAAAAAAGGATAGTCGACCAGCGACCGACGAAATTTGCTCAGTCGGTGGTGTGAACGCGTACGGTAAGGACTGTTCATCCTCGTACGATCGGCTGGACGAGTCCAGAGCCTTAAAGCGGCGCGTTAAGCACGATCGACCGTCATCGCTAACGTCAGTGATGACAGAAGTGAGGTGGCGTGCTGGCCGTGGTGTTAAGCTCTCGCCGGATAAATGTGCGCGATGTATTATTACGCCAGCAAGCTGACTGCGGCGGCTCTAAGCGGCGTTGACTCCTTCGGCGGGGGCGAAGGGGCCGCAGGGGGTGGCAGAGGGGCGGCGCACGGTGGACGGGTGTGTCGATGCCACGAGGTGCACAGGGAACAGCAAGAGCAGCAGCAGCAACAACAGCAACAGCAGCAGCACCAGTCACCGAAGAGAAGTCAACAGCAGCCGCCCCAGACCGCCCGTCATCATTCCCGAGCACCGCGAGTGAACACCCCCACCCTCGGGCCCACCACCTCCCAGCATGTCGTCGTCGAGCACCCAAGGCCCAACCACTATCACCGGCATCGGACAAAGCACAAGGTATGTGTCGTATTCGAAATGTGCCACCGCATCGGGCCACGAAGTGTCAATTTTATTCTATTTACAATCTGTCTATGTTGTTTTTATTAAGAATCGAACAGAAATCCTGGACATAATCAACTTTGCCTTTGCTTCGTGGCATTTCCAAACGGTCGTATTCGGTGAAAATGTCGAAAGGAAGATTTTTGGAATTTTTCGACGTCGAATGAAAGAAGCGCGATCAGAATTCTGCAGTAACCCGTCATTTTTAACGTAACATGGTTGTTAGGTTTTCTGTAGACACGGTTTATGGCACGATCGAACGGTTATTTTTGAGTTGAGGATTTTTGTTTATTGCTTGCACGGGTCTAATTACATCCTGCGAGGGTCACTAGAATTGCTTTGCTAGATTTTTAGTAATTTGTGTCCCTCGCGCTCAATAGCCTACGAACATACCATAAACCACGAATTTCCGTTACGGCACATCCCTATGTAACGGTCCGCTTACGTCTCCCACCCTCAAGGTGACAACGCGCTAAGGGCGCACTGGAAGGGAGGTGAAGATGATACTAGACACGCCGATTGGCAAATGCTGTTGTCTCCATTGTTCACCATTAACCAATCAGCGTGTCCTAACAAAAATTCCCTCTCACGGACGTCCGAGACGCGACGTCGGAGAGTCAGTCGTTCAGTAGTCGTTCAACCACCACGAACAAGGAGAACCAAGGAGTAACCAGCTCACATCACGCGATACCATATATCAGTTTTTACAAGTCCCAATCATTTGGGTGGTCCTTGGAACCAGTATCTAGACGGCACAACATCGTGCAAACACTACAAGGCTCGAAAGTTCATCGATACAACCACGGGCATTAACAATGGTGTTGCGTTGTAAATGTAAAACGTGGGTTTTATACTCGGCCTGACGGATTATTTGAATGATATTCAATAACAATTAGTCAGGTTTGAATGTTAGAATAGAAAGAAGTCGTTACGATCGAACAATACCAATTGAACTTTACTTCTCTGTGCTTGTAAACCTTCCTCTTTGCATAATTCCCGATGACATTGTTGTGCGCGAAGGTTCAGATTCTCCGTGCAAATTGCGAAACTCTTAATCGACACTCGAAGACATTGTGCGCGTAGGAGATCGCGAATCGTTGGAATTAATCGAGACTAGCGCAGTTTAGGGGTGAGTTCGGTAGGATTCGTTCGATCGTGAAGAAACCTTTCTGGAATTTATGTAAACTCGTCGCTGGAAGTTCGAATAATAAACTGAGAATTTTTGTTTCTAACATATTACGTCGACATGTTAATTATGATGGTACGTGAAGAAAAAAGAAGTTACACGCTGTGAAAGTTGTTAAAAATTTGTGCCGTGATATTAAACAGGTACATGACGCGTAGGACCCTTTAGAATAATGTTAACATACATTCTCAAGCTGGAAGTTTCCCGATAATTTTCTACCAATTATTCATACATTCATGCATCGAATTTGCAAAGTTTCTGTATGGTCATCAGCTCGAATTCCAGAAGTCCTAACAGAAAATCAACTCCCCGAACTTTCCAAGCGGATGACCCAATAACGAAGTCAGGTATCCGAGTGTTGACTTTTGGGATCATCCGCGTTCAAAGTATGCGACGAAGCCCTCCAGGTGAACTATGTATTGTCTGTGTAAAGATATGTATGACAAAATAACGGGAAATTAACTTAAAATACACGACAGGGATCGTTCGTTTGAATAACACTCGGTCTCAATTTTAAAATATTTACTATACTTTACACGATATTAACGTTATTGTTGCGACCTGATGAGGACGCAACGAAGTCTCGGTTCGGCGAATTATAGTAATAAAAAATTTAGTCACATTTGGCCGCCAGGCCGAGGTGCCGACGCAATATACCCCCCGTGGACTCACCAGCGCGACACTCGGACAATAGGTCCCAAAAACACTCGGGACCATAAAACATTCGTTACCAAAAAGTCACAGTTTTCGTCGACCAATAGCCGAACACACCACGTTTTCCACCTCCGTAACACAACCACCAATCAGAACCAACCTAATGCCTATGTATACATCTACACACCTGAAAACCGACAGTCACAGTAAAACGAGTGCACGAGACACATCGTCAAAAAAAGAATAACCGTATTTCAAGTAAACATCTATCAAACATCTACATCAACGAATCAAAAGAAAAACATCTAACCCAGCAACGAAGTTTCAATACACCTCGAACCAGCGAGAACTATCATCAACCTGCGCCAGAACTCGTGGTGATAAGACTTGATCAAAGTCCACGACGGAACAGTTATGACGTCATTATTCACTCGAGATTTAAGTGCAAAGTTGAAGTGTATTAAATATTTTTAATAACTGTTTTTGTTTATTTGTTATAAAGTATGAAATGCAAATTCTCAGAAATTCTAAAGAAATAATTATCACAAAATCGATAAGATTTGTTTTCATTGTTTTAAGAGAACTGAATTCATATCTTTTTCCATTGAATGTTCCACTATGAACGTGCCTCGTTAAATTTTGCATAATGTTTTAACAAGGCCAAAATTTGTACGTTGCGTCGATGATAATGGAACGTAAAGTTCTAATTATCATTGTTCTGTAATTACGAAAACTAGTTTCAACAAAGCTGATTTGAATTTTGAGTATTATTGCTGTGAAATTAATTATTTACACTGAATTGAATTAATCGTTTCTGATTTAATTGTTAATTGACGTATCGAACGCCTATTAATAGTTACACCTCAAACGTGATACGTATTTTCAAAAATACGCGTCTATAACTTTGACAGGTAATGAAAGTTAAATTTGCATTACAGGAAAAAACAGTTGCATTTGACTACTGATACTTAATTTAATTTTATTCTATTATTAATTTGATAATGAAATGAAATGAAATTATTCATTGGAATAAGGACATTCGTACTTCGTCTAATTAGTCGTAAAATTAAAATTCAACGTCATATCAGCATACTTAAATGATTACAGCGTATGAACAGTCAGTTTTCTGTAAATTCGACATTTCAATCGTCGCGATTTACTATTCGTAGTAAAAAAATTGCACGTGTAAGCTAAAATAGACTAAAACAAGTAAATTAAATATAATTAGAATAGATACCGTAGTTTATTTAAAATTGCACAAAATAAACACTGTAAACCCGAGAAAAAGTTAGATATAAACAGAAAAAAGTCGAAAAATTGATCGTTGCATCGTTAAATTATTTGCAACTCTTATTCTAATCCTGCAAAGGATTGCAGAATCCGCAAAAAGGAAAGAGAGATACGTTCTTCGGTGAATTAAAGGGTCGAAGAAAGGTTTTACCTTAGAACCATGATTTCCAAGGCTCGCCAAGAAAACGGTGTTCTACCACGGAGCAGTCTTTATCAAAGGTTTTGTAGCGATTAATTTACCGCGCTCCTCCCGTTTCGTATAAAAGCTAATTTAATTTCCATACTTGCGTCAGAGTTTGCTGACTTCTCTCTTGAACACTGAGAAAGCGTGAAAGTCGCTGAAACAGGTAGTTCGGTATTCTCTATAAATGCATGTAACTTTATTAGACAAAAATAATGATCGAAATAATTTGCATAGAGTGACTAATTACAAGAACGATCTTTAGAAATATTTTCCACTATGGAAAGTATGTTTAAGAAGAAGCTGTAGGGCTCGTTGGAAGATTTCAATCTATTTTGATTAGATCGGAAGTTAATATTGAAACGGAATAAATGAAAAGTTCTGTGTTAGTGAATAAATATTGACACTTCTCTCTGTAGAACATCAATTAAAATTTAAATAAGTTTTCTGGATAGAGCTTAGAATCTAACAAGTTTCACTGTCGCATTCTCTTCCCTTAGAGAGTGTCACCAATAATTAACACCTTCAAGAAACGTGTGCAAAGGTGTGAAAGGTTTATCGATCACAAGAAAAATTGATCGACAGTGATTTCGAAGTTTTTTAAAATTTTTCTTACTAAGCAAAATTTACGTTTCACAATTGTTTGCTGAATCATTTTCATTTTAAGACTGGAACTGTAAATGCTGGATTTAAAATTTTTTAAATTCTACTAACTCATGACAGAAATTATTTGACATTCAATGTTTTTCATGATAATCGATGAGATATTTACGTTCACTATCGCTAATCACTGTAAAATACTTTCAAATTTGACGATTCCACCGACTAATCTCCGTTCGAATAAAATTAGTAAATCTCTCCCTCGTTCCACCTCTCTTTTATTCTATTGTTTGTTGTTCCTTTTCAATTCTACGAACGAAACGTTCACTACGCCGTTTGCAAGTACTTTCACCCATTTTTTCATTACGATGGTTCATTTTAATTGTTCGCGGGGATAAACAATACGAAATGAGCGAAGCGAACCTCCTAAGTACTCGAAATTATACGCCTTCGACGTTGAATTCTTTCTGAAAGTAGCTGCGTTTAATACTCCACGCTGAGAGTCAAGAATCTACTCTAGAATTGAAGAGGCTTTGCATTCCGTATACGATGCACGACCAATGGGGAAAATGTTCACGATTAAGTTCCCTGGAACGATGAAATTACTAAGAAGAAGAAATCTTAGGAGAAATGTCAACACGATTTTTTCAGTTTCACTCAGAATTTTCATGTTCCGTGAAATATTCTTTTCACCTTGTGACGTTTCTCCTGTCTCACGAGTTACCTCGGTGCTCCGTGACATTTTTCAAACGTAAAATATTCGTTAGGTGGATGAAGACGTTCCTTGGCATGTTGTTCGAGTATGGTGAACGTGAAAAATGTAGAAGAACGTGTACGAAAGTGTTAGCTTACGTTAAAAGTCACCTGTGATTGATCTTTATTGTCGTATTTTCTTTTGAGTATTTTCAATTGTGACATCGAGTCGTAAAATTAAGTTAAAATTAAATTAAATTGAATATCGAGTCGTACAGTTAAGTTAAAATTAAATTAAATCAAATATCGAGTCGTAAGCTTGAGTTGCAATATTAAATAGATTTTTCTTTCGCGGTTGGAAGGGGAAAATTATACGATATTGTACTTAAGAACGGTTCGAAAGTATCCAAGATTAGGGGAAAATTCACTTGCCAAAAATGTATTTCCGTGGTGCGTTTGTGCACGCTGAAGTAAGGAATATTCAGAAGCAGCCACGAAAGTTTTAAGCTCGACGAGACAGGTAAGGTTCGCGGGATATCCGGTCCCTAGCGGTTTCCGCTCTTGCTTTTACCACTCATCGTCCCTTTCCCCTCTCCTGCCTTCTGCTTTAAAAGAAAAAACGATTTTCTTCTTTTCTCTTTTAAAACAAGTACGACACGTTGTGCTTGTCTACGTTTCAAATAAAAAATTTTAATTCGTGTTTCAAGGTTTGTAAATGTGAATCTCTCTCTGAGAGTGAGTGAATCTCGTTCTTGTGTAAACTCGCGATACTTCCAGTTGACTATATAACAGTGCACAGTTGTTCTGTAACCGCAAACATGGTTGTTCAGTAATGATTAGTCGAGACTGCTCAATTTAACTTGGGTAAATTGATATGAACTCGACGAGTATTGACCGGAGGCTAATGTTGCAGAAATTAACACAAGCAATAGAGATTGACTAACAGAGAGGTTGATTCATGTAATAGAGAGTGTTTGATAATAGGAATTGAGTGGTTTAGAGAGATTTCACGAGCACTTTCTTTCATGAAAGTAGAAATTTAGTCGATTTTAATCTTGGTACAGTCTTTGGGTCTTTTTTGACCCAATTGAGAATTCGTGAGGCGAAAGACTTGTTCTAAGGGATCATTACGTTTTTACATACCTATTGCGTGATTTTTTGAACAATTTCAAATGAAAACTCCCATCCAAAAAATTCGTAAAGATCGAATTCGTAAAGATAAAAATTCGCAAAGACCAAAATTTTTAAAGATTAAATTCGCAAAGATAAAAATTCGCAAAGATAGAATTCGGAAAGATAAAAATTCGCAAAGACAGAAATTCGCAAAGATAGAATTCGTAAAGATAAAAATTCGCAAAGATAGAATTCGCAAAGAGAAAAATTCGCAAAGAGAAAAATTCGCAGAGACAGAAATTCGCAAAGAGAAAAATTCGCAGAGACAGAAATTCGTAAAGACAAAAATTCGCAAAGAGAAAAATTCTTAAAGACAAAAATTCTTAAAGCTAAAAATTCGCGAAGTGAGGGCTACCCGTACTTTTCTCTTAAGCTTGTTTACCAAAGATTCAGCCCTGTCAGCACGCGAGAAATTCCGAACCACGTGGCGATAGGCATTCGAAATGTCGGCTGGTTAATTGATCGCGAGCATTTAGTCACGAAGGATCACGGTGAATTCAAGTATCACGCCGGCCGATTCGTAACCCACTAAGCGCCGTGTGGAATCGGGCGTATAATTAAGCAGACACGCGGAAGAGAAGTTCTTCTACCATCGATCGCTCGGGACGAAGAAGAACCGACCGCGAACGATGTTCTTCGAAATTAATTTTCTTTTTTTTTTCAATCTTTTCCTAGACTCTTTAATTAAGGATATTCCGCTTTGTTAATTAGAATTATCGATTTCCCTGGTTCCTTACTTGCGAACGGTAATTTCACCGCGCAACCAGTGGCTTTCTCTCAAAGTTGTTTCGTAAATCTCGATTGACTTATACGGGAGGATTTAACTTCGAATTTTTTTTTTTTTTGTGGAACTGATTCGACAAAGTTGATGGAAGTTTGGAGCACGTTCTTTTCACTTTAACGATGTTCTGAAAAATGGAAGAAGGAGAAATGATAAATTATTTACACGTTGTTCCCTTATTTTTCATTTATGAGTGTGTAAATAATAGTATAAATGCATATTTCTTGTTCAAAAATCTAATTTATAGATCTAGTTACATATTTATTAATCTATAAATACACAAATGATTTAACGTATCCTTTTTCCTCGTTGAAGCAGGATAGAAGGATAATGATACAGGAAGAAAGAATTTTTGTATTTAAACAAAATCCTTTATGATTTTTAATGCACTCGTGAGAAAATGTATTCGAATATTCTTTTCCAAATCAAAATTCATACTTATTTTCTATAGAAATTATCGTGTCCCATTGATTTACTAAAAATATTCAAAAATTAGGCTAAGGTATATCATAAAATATTCTTACATTTCGAAAAACAGATGGTAAGGAACTATAATAAGTCCCTTCAAACGTCATCACCTACATCAACAACTACCATTTGCGATAAAAGGAGATTTTCTTCGAAATGAAAGAAGAAAAAGAACTTATCATCCCCTTAAAAAAAGGGAAATAAAAGATAAATCTAATTTCCCGGATAGCTTCTTCGACTAACAGCAATTATCGTCTGGAGGACTTAATTTCGAGTAACATTTCTTTCCTAATCCCGGTCGTAATCCCTTATTAGATTTGGCGAGTAAACCGCCAAATAGGATACGGAACCACTCGAGTGTCATTACAGCGCGCGGAAGTGCAGGCTAGTGGTGCTTGCGAGCACGGACAATCGTTGAATGGATTATTGAATAAGAAGTGGTTGCTGGAGGAGAGTCGATTCAGGAGCCGATACGACTTCCCTAGAAAAGGATTACAGAAGCACAGGAGGCCGTCCTTTGATCTTCGAGTACCTACATCGTCCAAAGGAACCACCGCGTTTCAACCTACATTTTGACCAACGGAGATCACCGCTTCCAAGTGGATCGCTAAATTTTTCTCGGCTCCCCTCGTGTTGCCTCCGACTTTTCTTCCAGTTTCTGGCAAGTCTTTTTCCTTTGGCAGACGGGCTCTTTCAAAGCGAAATTCGCGAAATCTCACAGACACGTGTATGTGCCCACGATTGCTTTGCAAGCGAATGCTTCAAAATATTCTCGGAATTTGCGTCTTTGAATTTATTCTGACGAATTAAAGGCGCTTTTGTGATAGAGCTAAGAAAATAAGGACACTTGGTTAAGTAACGAAAGGAAAAGAAAAGCAGAGATTTTTCTAATGGAATTCAAATTATTTATCAGTGTTTCCCTTTGTGATTATTTACCTTTCCTTTTTTAGGTCTAGGTTTTTAGTTTTGTGTGTGCATATGTAAATTATTTGAAGGAAGTTCGTTTAAAAATTTACGCGTGTGTTAAGAAATTGTGGAAATATTGGATTTCAGGCAAATTTGACACAGAGTGAAACAACAATTATTATATTTCAGTGAAAATACGATTTATTAAATTAGGCTCTGTTCGATCTTCCCTAAGACAATCTTTCCAAGTTACAAAAGCACTAGCATAGAAAATACTCAAAAATGGATCAAATTTCTGAAAAGGTACTTTAAACATGTGTTCAAAATACTCAACCATGAATTGATAGTTACGCTACCTGGTCACCTGGGGAAATATTAAAAACAGTCGAGAAGACTGTGGAAATTTTTCCCGAAAACCGGGAAAAAAGTGTCGATCTTGTGTCGCGAGGATATTGAGGAAGCGTCATATTGCTGTTTTCCGAATGGTTCTCGATATTCTGATATCTCGGTAACTCGCCGTACGGTGGGCTGAACTTTTATCTGGCAAATATTTATCTCGATCCTTTACGTAGCAATATTTCACCGACGCTGCCGGATTGTAAGCACATCGATCTTTCGAATATAAACATTTGTAACGAGGGAATCTGATCGAACGAAGTGGAAGACCCAGCATGCGCTTTCGTTGTTCATATCTAATCGATGGAACGTGGTGAGATATTGTGTCGGTTAACCTCTTGGAAAATGTACATTTGCGTGTTTGTACCTTTACTTTGGAAGAATCGATTAAACCGGAGGAAAACGACGTGGAAACTAATCGTGGAATTTTTCTATTTCTGTTTCAGGTGAGTTAGATTTGACTTGTTAGTATGAAACTTCGTTGTCTCCTGCGTTACGAGCGATACCGTTAAAAGTAAGTAACAGCCTTCGAAGCTTAGTTACATTTTTCGTAAATATGTTTGTTATTGTTCTTTTTAAATTGACAAAAAGCAGATGTAGTTTCTCCAAACTCTGTCTCACGAATATTAATTTTCCTGTGAAGCTAAATACAGGTATTTAGAGTTATAAAACTTGGGAGCTTCAACTCGACTCAAATACCATAATTCCACTTATGTACCAATTTACAGAAGTGATTTGGACCGAATTATACTTAGTAATTCAAGAATCTCTTTAACGACTCCTTTACACTCGTGTGTACCATGTTACATTTACTTTTTCAATAAAACTCTGGGTGCACATTTATTAGAATGAGTAATTCAAGAGCTTCAACCTTTCAAATGAAGAATGTGTTCATATGGGATAGAAACTTGCTATACAGAGGATATTTCTGCGACGAATGCTTTGAAAGCTAAAATAATACAAGTTTTTCACTCCGAATTCAATTTTTTGCAAACCAAATTCACCCTTTGAAAATTCCAATTTTCGGGAACGAGTAATTTCTCTTAAAGTGTGAATTGAAGTTGGGGCAAAGTACAAACAAAAGGGTGAATTTGATCTGCAAAAGGATGAACATGATTTGCAAAAAGTTGAATTTGGAGCGCAAAATCTGTGATTATTTTTATTATCATCAGAAGTAACAATTATTTTAATTTCAAGTGAAATATAGCTTAACTTAAATTAAACAGTTAAATTGAAATTAAAATTAAATTAAACTTAGCTCATAGCTAAAATAATCGTTTCCACTAATTTTGAATTTCTAATTATCGTTATTTCAACAAAAGCAACTATAAGCACACCGAACCATACCTCTGTGAGCGAGCTTCGCCCGAAAGCGCCCGTACAGGTGGATGCAAACAGTAGTGTGTACACTTAATCACAGCTTAACTACTTAGCATCTTCGCGTGGTACTCGTCTCGTCGACATACATATACGGCGCGAACAGATTGCGTTGCAATTGCACAGTTGCACGGGAGTAGAAACGATACACGCTGGTGTGTCGGAAGGTGGCGGGATACCATAAAGGGGTGTTCCTTTGAGTTGGCCGCCTCAACAGCACGTCGAGTCTGGTGTCGTGATGACCAAGGCCCTCTGGGTGCCGCTTTGTACCCAGGTCATTATAATCAAGTCGAGTGCAACTTAGTTAACGACATCAAAACCCGATGTCTCGATGGTGCACAACGTCCTCGTGCACCGAGGTGCGAATACCGGGTGCTCTCGTGCCGTCACATCGCAAGCGTGTCGCGTTTATTGCGATGGTAAAAGTTATTGGACACATGATGAACTTGCGTCGTTCCTGGAATAACGTGGTGAAACGCTTGTTCGTACGAGATTGTTCGGGAAAGCTGTGAAACGAATCTTCCGGTGGTAAACTCGGAGATATTGGGGAGAAATTGGTATTAGGTGTGAAAGCTGTGAGGTGGATTCGCTGTTTTTTAAATTCAAGTACAGTAAATTCTCCACAAGTGTCAGTCCGCAAGGAACCTAAACCTGACACTTGTAGAGTCAGGGACTACGTTTTCGAGCCTCGCGCCCGCCTTTGTAGTTTGCCGAACGTAGACAAGGACAGCGAATAAAAGATAAGGATGAAACGTGAGTCGAGGCAACCAAGCGATTTAAATACCCAACATGTTAAAAAAAATTTCAGATGAAAGAAAGTAAAATTAAAGAAATTATATTTTTCTATTATGAATTGTCGAGCCGTGAAATCTCGTAAAAGAAACCGAGTGGTGTAGCGTTACACGCTTAACTGACAGCGAGCGAGATAACATAGGCGCAGCAATAACACAGGCCTAGGCGTAGGACCATCTATGCTGACACTTGTAGAATCCAAACTGACTGACACTTGTAGAGTATTTACTGTATTCTGAATTATTTTTAGTAATTTTCAAAGATTCCATCGGATAGAGTAATCCATAGATTTTTGGATATCGTTAACTGTATTGATGTGTTTTTCAGCTAAGAACTGATGGCTATTCTTATAATTGTATGAAACGTTTTAATTTGAGTGTGAAGGCTTTGGTAGACAGAACAGCAAATTATTGGCATATATGTTTATGTCACTCTGTATAAATGTTCGAATTTCTAGTTATCCTTTTTTCTTTTCCAATTTAAATACAAATATTCCAGTGACAATTTGACAAAACTTGATATACATATACTAAATATTTCAAGAATTCTGAACGATCCTTTTTAATTACTAAATTATTCTAATTTAACCTTTACCCTTTC